GCCGCCTCCTCTAGCTTCCTGTTGTCCTGCTCTCTCAGGAGGAGGAGAGGAAAACAGAGAACCACTCCACTCAGTCCATCAGTCCACCCCCCAGTTCCCATTCATTCATAAGGGGCAGTTTTCCTTTTGGCCCCCATATGTCTCCCTCTCTCTGTCTCTCACACACGCACAACCAGCTGGCTCTGCGTGCCCCATTCCACTTTTCTCTCTTCTCCACCTCCCCTCAAGTACTCCACCTCCTTTTCCCTAAACACATTTGGGAATATGGAGTAAAAATGAGAAAGCTGAAAAACCCCGGCAAAGACCCAAAGCTAATTTGTTTGACTATGCTAATGAGCGTGCACGGAAATGTATTATTTTTGCATACATTACTTTGAAATGCAAATTGCAAGAACAGTCTGTAACTATCTCCCTCATCTCCTGGGGTTAAAGGACAAAGGGGAGAAAATTACTTGAAAATCCTTTGTCAGCTCTTTTCTAGCAGGAAAACCTCTGCCATTCCCAGGGCCGGCTCCTGCTCCCACCAGTGAAGTCCTGGAGTCCTCCTCACACGTGGCTGACCGGGGCACTTCCACGACAGTGGCCTTGCAGGGCACTACCAGCTTGGGGGACAGGTCTGACGTCAGAATGAAAACACAGCTGCCTTGATTTTGTTTCGTTTTCCTCTCTGCTAACACCAACCGGGGCACGAAAGGAAAAGGGACGGGGAGAAGCAGAGAAACGAAGCCAATCAGAACCCCAAGTTCAGAGGCCAGGCTGACCCCTCCATGGCTCAGAGTTCCTGGCCCTGCCCTTCCCGTCACTGGTTTGACCTTGGAGGTCACAGCAACACTGCTGGTCTGACCTTCCTCTACCATGTGCTTTACGAGGAGTCTGACACCTGGTTAAGAACCTATGTGTGACTTTTCAGGCTTGAACTTGGGCCACTGATTTTCAACTGGTGTGCTGCAAGAATTTTTAAAACATGCAAAACCCGACTGTTTAGTCAGGGGCACTGACCTCTTTTCCCTCAGGTTGTCGAATAAAAAAATGATAATAGCCAACACAACAATAGCCACCTGGTGTGAATGAATCAAAATTATTTATCTGTTTTTTGTCAGATCAGCAAAAAATATCACCTATTTTTGGTGTGCAGCAGAATTTTAGCAATGAGTTTACATGCACTATGAGATGAAAAAGGTGGGAAGTGCTGCCTGAGGCGCTTACCCAGTCAGTCTTTCTACTAGTAATTGGTCCACTCAGATGTTCCATTTCACTACAATTCAGCCTCAGTAGGTTGTACATTTCTATATCCATTTCTTCTATGTTTGTCCCATTTGTTAGCACGTAATTGCTCATAATCGTCTTTTACGACACTTTGATCAGCTCCTCAGACACCTGACAGCTCGGCTCTCCCCCACCCATTCCCTCTCTTCTCTCTGATCTTTAACTCGGACGAGCTCCTAACGCCTTCCCTTGCAGTTTCCATGGTCATCAAACTAGGAGATCACTAAGATCAAAAGCACTTTTCCCTGTTACAGTGGGCAGCATTATTTTTAGCATTTGCTGAATGCCAGACACAATGCTATATACATATATGCATGATCTTGGCTAACGCTCATGAGAATTTCCTCTGTTACTGATAGTTATGTGCCAGGCTCACTTATTCCCTTTCTTAAGATGGGAAGACGGTGGTTTAAAGACATTAAATGACTTGCCCAAGGTCTCACAGGCAGTAAGCGGCATGGTGGGAGCCGAACCGCAGATCCCGGCGATCTTTCTGACTGCACTCCCAGGCACCTCCACACGGGGCAGAGTCTGCACTCCAGCGAGCAGCAGGGGCTGCAGACACGTTTCTTAGTGACTGGTCCTCCAGTCTCCCTCTTCTGCCCAGACTGCCTATCACCAATGCAGGGCATTTCAGTTCATTGCCCGGGACTACTACTCAATACGTCCAACTCTGAAATTACCTTCTTATCCACCGAAATGTCCCTCTTTCTCAATGGTTACACCTCTCCTCATAATCCCACCATCTTCCAGTCCCCAGGCTCACAACCCCATAGTCGGTTTATACGTGTCGTTGCCCAGCGCCCCAGCCCCACACCTAGTCTGGCATCCAGTGGGACAGCTCTTCTCTGAAGTGACCTCAGGTTCACAGCTTCCCCACCTCTTTGCAACCACTCTGATCTCAGCCCCCCTCCCCCGATCGTGTGACCGATACAGCCTCCCATCTAGGAACCCACCCCCACCTTTCCACATCTCCCACCCCTCCCCACCCCCCAGTGCAGAGCCTCATGGTGGGCCACATGAATTGCATTTTATGATGAAACAATGACTGTTTAGGCTTCGGTTCCATTGGAGTGAGGGTCTGTTTGTTCATTTGGAGAAAGGAGATTGGTAGCTTCATGTCACCATAAATAAAAAATAAAGTCACGCCCTCCAGGACTTGTCACGCTGCAGACTACCTGCTGCCCTCACCCATCATGATGTTCAACCTCTACCTCTGACCCCCGCCGCTGCTCTGAGAGTCCAGTTCCCATTGTTACAAACGAGCGAGTAAGTAAACCCTGCTGTTCCCGTATATTATGCTTATTATATTTATTATAGTTGTTATTCACGGCAAGCTTTCTAGGCATAAGAAATTGTGTAGAATAAGTATTTCCTTGGCTTTAGATATAAGCAGAAATAATCCAATAGTAATTCAAAATGATAAACATACTGGTCGGAATCAAGCTTGCTGCTACAGAAACTAAACCACCAAGATTTGAAAAGTATTACTATTGGCTTATTGGATGAGGAATTATTGGGCAATTAGACTTGGGGAAGAGAGAGTAACCACTCCTTGTCCTGAAGACATTGTTCCCCCCCAGCCCAGGGATCCCTACTGGCGGGGCAGCCAGGCCACAAGGAGAAGGCGAGTGAAGGTCTTTGAATGGGGGTCCAGAGAAGAAGGCAGGTCTGTGCCCCTCTTTGGGCCTGGAACCACTGGTCCCCACAGGCGCTTGGTCTCTCCTCTTCTGTCCCAAGAGCAGAGCACAGGCGCTTCAAAGACCTTAACTGTCGAGAGGCATAAAGCCTTTGCAGACCATTATGAAAGTTCACACAAATCTGATTATCTCCCCCAGCTAGCCAAATTACAGTAAGTTCCTCCAGCAAGATTAATGTCAAATAGATTTGCTGAATTTACTGCCAGCAACACAGGGAAAGAGCAGAATAAACAGAGACCTCTGTCCCTTTCTTAGTCCTCGCCCTCACTCTCCTTTCCTCTCCCCACTCTCTGAACCATCTGCAATCAGGGGCGTCCAACCTTCTGGCGTCTCTGGGCCACACTGGAAGAAGAAGAGCTGTCTGGAGCCACACATTAAATAATCACCAAAAAATCTCATAATGTCTTAAAGCAAATTCATGGTTTTGTGCTAGGCCACATTCACAGCCATCCTAGGCCACATGCAGCCCGTGGGCCCCCGGAGATCTTCAGAGGTAAGAGCTTGTCAATCACACACGCCATTGAGTCAATGGCCTGCATCCACTGGGGCCCAGCTGCACCTGATCCGAACCACATCCTGCCCTGTCCTTCCCTCCCACCAAAATGTAAACAGCCCGGCACTATCTCAGCAGCGTTGTCTCTCTCCCCCACAGTTCCTGCCCACGGGGGAGTAATGATTGCACCCAGGGCTGGAGCTGAGATGAAAGCAATTTTTCCTCCCAGAGGTCTGGGCGTGGGTTGTGGGTGAACTCATCAGTGATTGGGTGCAGCCTGGGCGGGCCTGCCTCCATCATCACCCAACTCAGAAATTTAATCAAGATCTAAATCCAAAGACATCCTTCCTGGGAGTCACCTGCCCAGCAGTTTCTTTGGCATCAGATTTCTAAATCTCCCTTTGTAAATGTACCAGGAGAGCGGGGTTTGTCACTGGTTGTAACTGTCAACCGCCATCATCCCCCTCCACCTTGCCACCTGTGTCCTGTGTACCTTCACCCCCTCCAATCTCACCACAGCCCAGCTGGGGGTGGGTTGCTACCTGTTTCACAGAAGGCGAAGATGAAGCTCAATGACACTGAGCCAGGCTGGAGCCCCGTCCTGATGAGACCCCAGTGGACCCTGCCAACATGCCCTTGGAATTCACCTCCACACATCCAAGGCTGCCACTGAGAACATCTGCGTGCCTGGCAAACCGGAGTACCAGGGAGCCGAAGGCCCCAGGAGCAATCCTCAGCAGATGACACCAGAGGAGGGCATAAGCACCGAGCCTCCTCGCCCTCCGCTGAGACAAGCCCCCCTGCCACACGCACCTCCTAAATTTGGGCAGCAGGCAGGGCTCCAGGTGCCCGCCGTGGTGACAGGCTTAATGGGTATCAGGCACTCGTGGGAGGGCAGTGAAGACAGCTCTTGAAGTCAGGACATCTGGCATGAGATAGTGGAAAATACTAAGGAAAATCTGAGCTCATGGTGCATTTATTCAACCTTTCAAAAATGCTTGCATTTAGGTTTATTATTCTAGCTGAGTGACCTCGGGCAAACCGCTTACCCACTCCGGGCATCGTTCACCCATCCGGGCATTCATCAGACATCCCTAAAGCTGTGTGCCAGGTACACAGACACAGAGGTGGCCCTGCCCTCTGGGAGCTCCCAGGCTGGATCCCACCCCGGTCTGGGCTAGGAGAGGAGTCAACTCAAGATGCAGAGTGAGGAGTGCACGAGATGTCCAACCCAGGCTCAGAAAGCCAGGAAGGGCTCCTAGAGGAGCTGCCCCTGGAGCTGAGTCTTCAGCAGCAGTTAATACAGGGAAGAGCATCTGCAGTGGGAACAGTATGTGAAAAATGTGGAGAGCAGTGAATCCGGGGGGGCGGGGGCTGAGCCGTTTCTCCACGGCATGCACCTGAGACGGTCACTTCACCAGGTTGCACCGCGGCTTCCCCACTTGACCTGCTCTCTTCAACAGGTGGTGTAAGATTAAGTATGACAGTGTATGTGAAAGTTGCTTTGCAATTCTTTTTTGGGAAAGATTTTGTTTATTTATTTTTAGAGGGGAAAGAAGGGATGAAAGAGGGAGAGAAACATCAGTGTGCAAGAGAAATATCGATTGGTTGCCTTTTGCACACCTTTAATTGGGGACCTAGTCCTCAACTAGATGTGTGCCCTGACTGGGAATCCAACCTGGCAGCCTTTTGGTTTGCAGGACGACACCCAACCAACGAGCCACACCAGCCAGAGCTGAAAGGGAAAGCTCAGAATTCTTTGGAAATCGGAAGGACCGAAGTGTGAGCCTGACAGGACAGACCCACACCCACTGGTGGGAAGACGGTGGCGGGAGAGCAGCCCGGTCCATGGCTCCTTCCTCTCCCTCCGGCCGGCCATCAGTCACGCCAGGCCGCAGCAAACACAGTCCTGTGTAGGGCACTTGACAGCAGAGGAGACGCTTTCACAATGATTTATTCTGCACAGTTTATTGAGCTGCTGTGCCAGGGACTCCTCCAGGTGCAGAGAACACGATGATGAACAGGAGACACACTTCTGGCCCGTGGAGCGTGGTGGAGTGGGAGGGTCGGGCGAGTAAACAGGCCATTTCCACAATCACACCCCACCCTCACAACAGCCGCGTGAGGGAGACAGGGCTGAGATCCTGCTTCCCGATTTCTCAGTTAGGGAGCTGCAGCCCAGAGAAGAGTGATGACTTGCTTAGAGCCACAGCTGGATCGCGGTGGTGCCAGGACCCACACTGGGTCCCACCCAGACTCCAAGCCGTGTCTTTCCACTGAGAGCAACATTATGCCAATCGCTGGGGCCAGAGTTAGAACAGAGGAAGCCGGCTGGGTCTCCAAGGACAGGGGATAGATGCTGGCCCTGATCGCCCAGCAATAGCCCCCAAGCAACAGAGAGGGAGAGAACAGATAACCGAGCTTGAAGTGTTTAGTCCTAAATCCAGGAGAGCTTTCATTATTCGCATTAAATCCTTCCCCTGCTTCCAGCCCCTCCAGTGGAGCTTGACTCAGACTTACTCAGACATTAATTAATTTGTTCTGAGAGGGAAGAATGAATTCTTGGACTCCCTTTATCTTCCTGGTTCCCTCCACGGGCTCCCATCTGCTTCCTTCGTGCCTGGAAGTAAGGAGACCGAAGGAGATGAAAACAAGCCTGGAGATAGGTTGCTGCTGATCTGAATGTCCCATACTGAAATCTCCTCTCCAAACACGGTTTTGGGGGCCGCGGAGAGAGGGTACCAAAGCTTCTGATAAAACACAAACAGCTGGGGGTGAGGCTTTAACTGGACAGGCTGAATGAGAGTAATTAGTAATCCGGCCCTTCATCAGGCAGAGCCAGATGCTGGGGCTGGTGGGGCGTGGGGGGCAGCTGCTGGGAGCAGGAATGACGGGAGAGGAGCAGCCTCTTTCCCAGGAGTGAGAGGCACACGTTCCCAGGTGCAGTGCGAAGATCCCAGGCCGGGGTCCGGGGAGTGACCCTGGGTACCCTCTGTCCAGAGAGCAGAAGTCCTTGGCCAGAGGAGCTCAGTAACCTTCCTTCATCCACTGGCCAGACGTTTACTGAGTACAGGACCCAGGACTGTCTCAGTCCTAGAAAATAAGATCAGTGAGACGCCGCAGTCCTTGTACTCAGGGCCTCTCGGATCAGGAGGGAGACAGACAGGTTAACTGGTGAGTGAACAGAATGGTGTCAGTCTCTGCGCGGTGAGGGCTCACAGAGGCAACAGCCAGTTCTACTCGGGGATGTCTGAGAAGATTTTATGGTGGGACAGTGAGCCTTGAAAGATGAGTAGGGTCTGCTAGACCAAAAGGGAGGAAAGTCATCTCAATATTAATAAAACTGATATCACCAACATTTATTGGGTGTGTGAACATTCCAGGCAGGATTGTAAGAGCTTTACATACATAATCTTCCAATTAATGCTGGCATCGGCGCTACGCAATAGTTTTATTGTTATCCCCACCTTACAAACGAGGCCCAGTGTGGTTGAGAAACTTGCCCAGTGTCAGTTTGGGGACCTGAGATGAGTCAGCAGGACTGGGCTCACTCAGGTTTGGAGGTGGGATGTGCCTTGAGTGATGAGGCCGGGAATGTGGGCTGGGCTCAGGCCACGAAAAGCCTCAGTGGCTTTGCTGAGCAGACTGGGTTTCACCCCGCTGGGCAGGCGGCGGCATGACCTGCTTACTGCTTCCCAAGGTCACTGTGGCAGCAGGACGGAAGCCGAACTGGAGGCAGCAAGGCAAGGAGGCCAATCAGGAGGACGTTTCAATGGTCCGGGGGAGACATAATGAGCAACGGCAAAGACCTCAACACCAGGACACAAAACAGGCAGGAGTTTCTGGCCACCCAAAGGAGAAAAAAATATGCTCGTGGAGCCACACAGACCTGAATGTGCATCCTCGTCATGCCGTGCACCAGGCCTGGGCAGACAGCCCTCGCAGTCTCTCATATGAAAAATGGAGACAGTGAAGTGAGTGATGAACCGCTGAATTCTAATGACTCTAGGTCACACTTGTCCACTTGACTGTGAGCTCCGGGAGGGTGGGCCCCAGCCTGGTGTTCTCTGTGCTGCCAGCACCCAACACTGGGCCTGGAACACGGCAAGCACACGGAGGCATGCATTCCAAGGAACGTGAACCAGAATCTAACGGTCTTGGGTTGTGTCACCTGGGAAGAGGATCCCAAGGCTAGGATTCTCTTAACTGGTTTCTCGGGGAGGTGACCCCAGGAACCTCCAGCAGGGGATGGAAAGGTGAGACAGGTACACTGTGGGCAGTGCAGCTGCACCTCGCAGGAGAATGTGGGCAGTGCAGGACAAATGTCAGAGTCACCCCAACTGAGGCAGGAGGAGGCCGGGGCCTCCGTCCATTGGTTGAGGGCTGCCTCTGTGGACGTCGATTCTCCCACATTCTCGACCTGCCCGGAGCCCGAGTAAGCGTGCGTCACAGTGAGACAAAAGCCCTCAGGCAGGGAGACGCCAACCGTGGCATGCAGAAATGAATGCCCAGGGCAACGGAGAGGCACCAGCGGTTACTCTACAGTAATCATCACTCCAGACCTAAACACCAGTTTACAGTCAAGTAACACCTTAACCACACCATGAGAGTACCATCAGCCAAATCTACAACATGAGATGACCGTGTTTCTCCCACAAGTTAACGGCTTAAGAGAAAGAGGCAAGGGGGGGTGTCATAGATTAAAAGAGACTTAAGAGATGTCTCAGCCACAGGTAATATGCAAACATTGGGTCCTCATTTGCATAAAACAACTGTAAGAAAACATTTTTTATATAATCAGAACAAATGGAACATGGACTGAGTAGTAGATAATATGAAGAAAGTACCGTTAATTTAGTTGAGTGTGATCATGCTATTGTGGCTGTGTTACTTCTTGAAGTCCTTACGTATGAGAGGTTTTACAAAACGGACGAAGCAGGTCTGGCAAACTGTTAGCAGCCATTACATCCAGGTGGTGAGCGTCTGGGAATTCATTCTACGTTTCTGCCTGCCTTTCTGCCAGTGTGAAACTTTGTAAGAGAAGAGGACGGACGAGGCAGGAGGGGAACCCAGACTACCTCAGTTTGAACCCTGGCTCTGCTGCTTTCTATTGCAGTGAACTTGAACATGTCACTTAAACTCTGTCTCTTCATCTGCAGATTAGGCTAGTAACGGTGTTTAAGATTAGGGCAAGGATTAAGCAAGTTAGTATCAGTCAAGTGCTTACAACAGTGCTCAGTAAATATTAGCTATTACTAGTCTATCAGGAGCAAATGCCAATGCATGACGGACGTGCAGGGACCCAGCCCGTAACCTCTGGCCCGGCTGTGTGGTTCTGGAGGAGGAATGGGGCGGGGCAGGGGAGGGGGCAGCTCTCCCCAGAGCACGTGGTTGGGAGCAGAGGGGAAGCAGCGCTCCAGCAACAGTGATCCCAGGAGAAGGGAAGTCTAGTGCTGGAGAGACAAAACACTTGAAGGGGAGGTGGGACTTCCTAGTGCAGTTCGCGGCCAGGAAGGAGGCAGCGTGAAACTCAGGGAATGCAGTATGGGAGGGAGAGTGCAGCAGGGCCCCAAGGTCACAGCCGGACCCTGGGAGAACACACACGGGGAGCCGAGGTGGGGGGGGGGGGGGGGGCAGACATTGGCTGACACTCCTCTCCCTCCAGCTGCCACAGGGTACCCACAGGTCTGGAGCAGGAAGCATCAGGTGTGTGTGCCCACTAACGAGCCCTGCTGGGGGCCGATGGCGGGGGCGAGGGGGGCAATGTCCGAAAGTGAGCCTCCCTGCGCCTCTGATGACTCTCCTTCTGGAAGAGGAACGGTGTGCACATGCCAAAGAGCTGTGTCAAAGGGCCAAGTCACAGCTTTCTGCCCTAACTCAAGCCTCTAGAACCCAAGGAAGCATTAAGCCCCACCCGGGAAAAGAGGTTTATGTTTCAGTTCCTCCCTGCGGCCAGAATACACTTACCCAAAGTGACAAGCGGGCGCATTCACAGAACGGTTTCAGAGTGACTGGGCTCCTCTCCCTCCCATGAACTCCTGGCAGGTGCAAGTCCCTGTGTCATCCTCCTGACTCCTGGGTGGAGTATTCAGTTTGTTAAGTTCTGGGGACAAAACCTGCCAACACGCCCCGGAAATAGCCTTCTGGGCCCCTGGGGAGAATCCTCCGGCCGGAGGAAGCAACAGCTGCTTCCTCCTACCATTTTCCGTCTGTCCTGGCCTTGAGCGCCCCCCTGGTGAGCACACCTTCCCAGGGGCTTGGGAATAGTGGGGAGAGCAGTGGGGGACAATGCGGGGCCGTGGAAAGGAGTCTGGACTCGCACTTGGGAGGACTGGTTTCAAGTCCCAGTCTGCCTCCTACGTGTCTGTCTATTTCCCTTGGGAAAGGCAGCTGACCTCTCTGAGCCTGTTTCCTGGTTTGTAAAGTGGGAATGATAACGAAACCTGGGCCCACGGCTGCTGGGAGCTCAAGCGAGATAAAGGGAGAGCAAAGGAACGCTTTTCAAAATTCAATTTCCTGCAGAGCGCCAATATGTAAAACAGACCAGTGTTTATACAAATAAGCTTTCACTGATGTAATTCATATACATTTATCACTGTACAATTTATAAGAATACATGTTTTATAAGTGAAAATTTATAATATTAACTTATTAAAGGCAATAACCATAACCACCAAGTTTTGATGAACAGAAAAAACTGAAACTGAAGTACTGGATGGTAGTTTCAGACCCATGGATCCCGTTTCCTTCCCAACTCGACCTCAGCCATAGACCTCAGCCACATGGGACAAAACTCCCGATTCGCACAAATTAGTTGCTGTAAATAGTTGCAATGTGTTTTTAAGCCTTGTAGTCTTAGGATCCTCTTTAAAATTCTTAATTCCAGAAGCTTCAAAAAAGAACCGTGGGGATTTTCCCTCAGAGTCAATATGACAATTTCCAAGAGCAGCTCACATTCCTTATTTTAATATTGAAGTTAAACAAATTAACCCTCACCAACAATACGTGCTAACCTTCTAGAAAGACACTGTCATCACAACGCAGCGGATGTTTGTTTGTTATGGTACAGCAACAGATAGGAGCAAAAACGCGCTCTAAATGGGTAAGCCTCCTCTGCCCTTCCCTGCTCTCTGATCGCGCTGTTGCTGCTGCGTACTCACCAGCGCGGCAGGTCCTCCGTCAAGGTCCTCTTGTGGTTCAGTGTCGTTTTGTCACAACATCGACGAGATGCCCCAGAGGACCTGGACTCCTGCCTGTACCAATCAGCCTGTGGTGAAATGGGTTTTATTAGTCGTTTTGCTTGAAGTCACAGACCCTACTAAGTGAGGAGTTGCTATGCAATCACAAGTAGACACAGGCAGGCCTGGATTTTTAAAATGACAAGAGCTACCACCTTCCTAGTCGATCATACTTCAAGTTCTAATTGAGTTCAGAGCAATGGCAAGAGACGCATTATGGAGATCTTTCTCCCAAAGGGGAGTTGGGGAAATGTTGCCCCCCGTTCTGCACCAGGAGGATGAAGGCAGTTATCCCCCTGCCCACGGGGCCACCCTGGAGCTCCACAGCGATGAGGCAGGAGACCGCCCCCCCCCCCATGGTGGTCTAATTCCTTCCCAGCAGCAATTCCTCACTGCTGTCAGCTGTGGATGACACAAAGCCCCTGTGGCCGTCCAGGATGAGACCTCTGCCACCCTGCCATTTTAAGGGGGGCTCCACCACCTCAAGGGATGTCAGAGGCCTGGGCAGCCTGAGCCCCGGCCACCTGACAGATGTCTTTACATCAGAGAACTGTGTTGGTTGAGGTCTGTTGGAGAATTTAACTGGAAAACACAAGTCACAGGACTACAAATAATAATCATAATTATTATGAATAATCACAATTAAGACAGAGGGTTGCTTTTTGAGGGGACTTGGGATCCTCAGTTCAGGAGTTGCTGGCACTTCATTTACTTTTCGAGGGAGAAGAGGAAGTTTCCAGTAACTTCCGCAGCGACCAGATTGCTCGGGAAGGGCCCGAGCCTGTTCTGTCTCCTGTAGGCCCAGGAGACAGCTGTGGGGTAGGGACAACATCATGCACGGAATACAGAGACCCTTAGCCAGAATCACGAACTAAGGGACCTAGAGCCACCTGACCTCTTAGAACTCAGTTTCTCATCTGCAAATGGACACCATACCTCACAAGGTTCTGGTGAGGATTTTACAAAATGATGTGTGTGAAGCACCCAGTGCTGAACCTCAAAAATGATTACTTAGGATATAGGTCCTTTAAAATATCAGGAATAGGGAAAGAAAGAAGGAAAGTGTGAGGAATATGTAAGTAGACTAATGCCACTGTCTAAGAAATAGTAGGTACCCATTCAATAGTAGCTACTATTTCACTTCTGAGAGTGGAATGGGGCCTGAAGTCTTAAGCAGGCCCAGAGCAGAACTGCTCGACTGACCCACAGAACTGCGAGACATCGGAAATGCTGTGCTAAGCCACCAAGTCGGGGGTGGCTTGTTACACAGGAAATGTTAACTGATACAAAGGGTAAAGGGCATCTTTCACTCGTGCCCCCTTAGCATCCATTTTCTTTCTTTTGTTAATTTGTTTTTGTGTATTAATTTATAATCAACCTATTAAAGTTATTAACCTAAAATCTCATTTTTTCTTGAGCCTTTACATTTACTTCTGGACATTATTGTACTGATTAATCTTTTTAAAAAATATATTTTATTGATTATGCTATTACAGTTGACCCATTTTTTTCTTTTATTCCCCTCCACCCTGCACTCCCCCCAAACAACATTCCCGCCACCCGTAGTTCATGTCCATGGGTCATACATATAAGTTCTTTGGCTTCTCAATTTCCTATAGTATTTTTAACCTCCCCCTGTTTACTTTCTACCTACAATTTATGCTTATTCCCTGTACCTTTTCCCCCACTTTCCTCTCTCCCCCTCCCTGCTGATAACTCTCCAGATGATCTCCATTTCTGTGATCCTGCTCCTGTTTTAGCTGTTTGCTTAGTTTGTTTTTTGTAGGTTCAGTTGTTGATAGTTGTAAGTTTGTTGTCATTTTATTATTCATATTTTTTATCTTCTTTTTCTTAGATAAGTCCCTTTAACATTTCATATAATAAGGGTTTGGTGATGATGAACTCCTTTAACTTGATCTTATCTGGGAAGCACTTCATCTGCCCTTCCATTCTAAATGAAAGCTTTGCTGGATAGAGTAATCTTGGATGTAGGTCCTTGCCTTTCATGACTTGGAATATTTCTATTTCTTCCAGCCCCTTCTTGCCTACAAGCTTTCTTTTGAGAAATCAGCTGACAGTCTAATGGAAACTCCTTTGTAGGTAACTCTCTCCTTTTCTCTTGCTGCTTTTAAGATTCTCTCCTTATCTGTCATCTTGGGTAACTTAATGATGATGTGCCTTGGTGTGTGCTTCCTCGGGTCCAACTTCTTTGGGACTCTCTGAGCTTCCTGGAAGTCTATTTCCTTTGTCAGATTGGGGAAGTTCTCCTTCGTTATTTGTTCAAGTAAGTTTTCAATTTCTTGCTCTTCCTCCTCTACTGGCACCCCTGTGCTTCGGATGTTGGAACATTTCAAGTTGTCCTAGAGGTTCCTAACCCTCTCCTCATTTTTTTGAATTCTTGTTTCTTTATTGTGTTCTGGTTGAATGTTTACTTCTTCCTTCTGGTCTAAAGGCTCAGCCAATCAGCATGGCATCTCTGGGGGACAACAATGATCAGTTAACCCAACTCCCATTCCCAACCCTCTTCTGCCTGACCCACTTCAGTTGGAGTCTGGGGGAGCAAAATTTTTTCCTAGCCTCCCTTAAAGGTAGGCGTTGCTATGTGACCCAGTTATGGCCCATGGGTTGCAAACAGAAGTTTGCCAGGAGCCTCTGGAATAGCTTTTTCTTTTCTCATAAAGGAACAGTTGATACTAGTGCCTCCCCTGCTCTTCTTACTGCTTTCAACCTGGCTGCGATTTTTGGAGCAGCATCAGTGATTTTTTGACTTCGAGGCAAAGGCTAAGAGCACTTTCAAGATGTGGCTGCATTGCTGAACCATTAACAGTGGCAGCTGCCTACTTCCAGACTTCCTGATACACAAGAAAAAAAACACTATTTTTTAAACACTTCTTTTCTTTGTGTTGGTAGTCAAGTTTTCTGTTTCTTACAGTTGAAAAAATTCCTAACAGAGCATCTCATTAGCTACAGTAATTATCAGAGCCATGAAGAAACTATAGAGATCACTATGAATTAGAAATTATTTGTTTTTCTTTGTAACTACCAGTGTCTTTAAAGTGCATTTTAGTAAGCATGCCATTTACATGGCAATCAATAGGGAAAATGAAAATTCAAACAGTTCACTAACAGCAAACTAAATTTCAATACCCAAAGCACAGAAGCAGCTTGATCCACTGTCAGGAGACAGACCCAGATGCGTCCTTTTGATATTCGATTTTCTTATCTATAAAGTGAGGACATTTTCTAAGTATTTACTTCATATGGATCTTGTGAGAATTAAATATTTATAAATGTACCTGGTGCTAAATACAGATGCATTTTTTAGGGGTCCCTATTAAAATAGGAATGCAGACACCAGTGGCTGGGGTTAGTGGACACAGGGAAGAAAGATTGGGGGGTGGGGTGGGACCCTAGATGACCACCCTTGGGTCATAGCCCACACCTCCAGTGCCTTTTGCACCCCATCATGGCCTCTGCCGTCCTTGTCCAGGGAGCAGCCCAGCTCACTGTGTCTCTTCTATCCTCTTCGTTCTGCTTCTCAAGAGGCTCATTACTATTCACAGACATGCTCTGTACGGTTACATCTTCAGTGCTAAGAAATGTGAATGGTAAGCGAGGTATCTAGTCTGAAGTTTTTCCTTTGAAGTCTTTTAACAAGTCACCAGGGACCGATGAAGGCAGAGAAGCGCTGTCTAGAATCCAGAGTCAGGACCTGAGAGCTGCCGCTGCTGCCAGGGAAGGGGGCCACGCCCCCGCACTCCCACACGGCCCTGAGGCCGCCCCTCCGAGGTTTCCTCCCGCCCCGCGCTGGCCTGCGGGCCTCTACGGAGGACGGAGAATGCGGACTGTGTGACCCACGGAGGGGTCCCGGCCTCACAGACGCTCGGAGCTCGGGCGACGCACAGCCGCGCTCCACACCCCCACCCTCCCACGCGACGCGTGTTCTGCTCCGAACCCGCACACCTCGGTCTGTGCCCACGCTCAGCCCACAAGGCAGGCACACGACAGCCACAGCTGTTGGCCGCGGGCCTGCCGCACGGGGAGGGTTACGCACGTTGTTCTCTATCCGTCACACTGATTCTGAAAAGCAGGACTTAACTACCTTTTCATGGATGAGGAAACTGGCTCCGAAACGTGAAGGCACGTGCCTGGAGCCACGCGGCTGGCAAGTAAGCGGCAGAACCGGACTCGAGTCCCAAATCAGCCCGCTCCGTCTGCCGTGCCAGGGGCCTGCCGCCCGCCGCCCGCCCCACGAGCGATCGGTGCGGAGAACACACACCTGGTGGATCTCGACGGGCGGAAGCTGTTGTCCTCTGCAGGGCAATTTGACTTTCCGCGGAAAGGAAGCTTCGTACTTACACGAGCTTCGTTAATGTTTTACTCCCTCTCCCCTCTCCTTTACTATTTGGTGCAATTGAGTTTAGACTGAAAAGCACTTGAACTGTTCACTTCATCAGTCGCTGGAAGTTACTGCGGCCAAACGGCAGAGAAAGGCGGGGATGAGCCCCTTCTTTCAGCCCCTTGGCCTACAGCCTCCACGGGCCGGGCACCCCGGCACCCCAGAGGCGGCGCGGCTCCCACCCGCGGCCGGCAGCAGCCCCGCAAAGGTTGTTTCACCCAACTCCAGGCTTCGGAAATTCGCGTTGCAGAGGTGACGGAGCAGACCGGACTCTGACTGTTTTCTAACAAAGCGGAGTTTAAACCGGAAGCTAGCGAAAGGAGAAGCACGCCCCACGCGTTACTAACACCTGGCCTTCCTCAGCTGCCTCCCTGGAGCCCTGTGACGGAAGGAAGACACAGAAAGGCCTCTGTCAGCGGGGGCCGCGTGAGAGGACAGTCTCCTGCGGCTTTCATCCCGCGCCTCACCTGCAGGCCTCTGTGCGCATGCGTGCGTGCGCGCTCGCACTGGCGCAAGCACGTGTGCACGTGTGCACGCACGTGCGCACACCCTTTGAGAGCTGCTTTGGAGAGAGATGGGGTCGATTTGGTCCCAGACCTCTGCTTCTCCTCGTCTGACCTGGGGGCGAGTGCCTTAGCCTCTCTGGGCCGCAGTGTCCCCTCCTGGGCTGCGGGAACAGAAGCCCTACTTCTCAGGGTTAGAGTTATGGTGGACACTGAATAGTTCCTGTAAGTGCCTACGACAGCGCCTGACTAGTGGCTCCGCGAGTGTCACCACTGTGACCGTTCTGTTTGTCTTATTCCCCCAGACCGGGCCTGCCCGGGACCCCCGTTTCTGAGAACCAAGGAGTCCACTGGGAGGGGTCAAATAAGAGACGGGAGGGAGGTCACCGTGGCCAGAGTGCTCACCAGCCGCCTCACCCCCGTCCCATCTGCCCTGAACCTGTTTTCCCTGGTTCCGCTCTGCGCAGTGTCCTGCCGCTCCACGCCACCGTTCTCCCCCGTCCCGCTGAGTTAGGACTCAGGCCTGGGAGAGGAGGAGGACGAGGAGGCAGTGAAGGAAGAAGGAAAGAGGAGAAGCGAAGATGTCTTTCTTTTTCTTTCTGTTTTTCTTCTTGTGGGGGTTGGGGGGAGGGAGTGGTCAGACTTCCAGAAAGGGGCCTAGATCCCAGCCCTGTGCTTTGGTACAAAACCTCGCTGCATTGCAATTGTTCTGTGTCAGGCAGGTTGCTTGTGCCCAAGCCACGCTGCCAGACGCTAGCCCAGGTCAGCCTCACTCTGAATCCCAAGCTCCTTCTCCCTCCCCACACGTGGGCATGTCTGGGAGTGCCCACCCCCACTCAGCTCCCTCACCAAGCAGGGAGCCCTCCCCCCTCTCACCCTCCCCTCCTCCCCAGCCCCAGCAGCCTGACACGCCCCGCCCCCAGCTAAGGCAGCCTGGCTTTCTCCACTCCCCTGCCCTCTCATTTCTGTCAAGTTCTCTGCAACCAATGTTTGACATTCTGTGATGTTTTTTGACCTTAAGACAAGAATTAAATTTTTAATCAGCAAATTACAATGTTCATTTAATTCATGACTTTGGTAAATGTCACCAGTGGAGTCCCACACCCCCCAGCTCCACCTCCAGTCCCTGCCCTGTCAGGAGCCGACCAACAGCTGACCTTTGACACAGTCGGGTCCGAGGAGACACATCTGCACAGCAGAGGGGACTGTGGCCAGATCTCCTGTCTGTCTCTTCCTGTGTGCCTGTCCCTGCTAGCAATAGGGGGTGGGATTTTTACATACCTGTGTGTTATAATAAAAAATCTGCGCAATGCCTCTGATTCTTCGAGAAATGACTTGTTGACCACAGAATAGAGACCCCTAGCAACCCGAATGTTGCCTGTTTCCCTCACCTGGGAAGTTAAGGACAAAATTAAACTATGGGCAGACCAACTGCCAGAACACTGAAGGAAGCTGTTGCTAGGAATGTTTCCTAGGGAGTCACCACCTGAAAGCTTAAGATTTATTAGAGCCACTAACCCTCCCATACCCTGGACAGAAATGTATAGAAACAAGGAGTTCTAGTTGAGAATAATAATCTCAATACATGGAAATGAACACAAAACATGGCCCCTCCCCAAGATGTATAAATCAAAATATATAGGCCAAAAACTAGTTATTTGATTGAGATAAATTTAATTTTAATGGATAATAGTTTATTTCTATATACCTATAAATCACCCCTTGCACCCTTTTAATTTAAACCAATTCCTAGAATTTTAATAGATACCTAGTTACTAATTGGCATCTGAAAGTTTGTGCCTGTATAGCTTCGTTGGCTAACTGATTAATGACCCTCTTGGTCAAAATAACCTTTGTTTAATATGGTTGATCTGTGGGACTTCCTGTACTTTTTGGTTATTTCTTTGTTTAACATGACTAATCTGTAAAATCTTCTGTGCTTTTAGAAATTATTTCTGTGGTAACCATTTCTGTTTTAATAATCACACTATGCATTGAATGTTGTATAACCTCCCCTATAAAAATAAAGATTGATTTTTCTCAGTGAGTTAGTCAGGCCCAAAAAGCCTGGCTGTCCTCCGGAACCCCACCCGGTATCTCGATTCAGTCTCTTCGCCTTAGCCGTGCATCCTTTGGGGACCCTGAGACCCCCGCCGAGGCTGGACCCCGGCACTGCCTCACATAAATGCAGCAGTGTCCTTGAGGGGCAGAAGGACTGGGGTGGGGCTTCCCATTAGCCTGAGAGGTTGGCCTGCAAGTGCCTTCCTTGGAGCCCAGGGCTGGGTGCATCCAGCAATGAGCAGGGCCACTTGGAGCTCTGTGAGTCCTCTGTTACCTATAATTACAGGCACAGTGACGTTTTGGTGGCTGAGCCTGCCTGAATACCTGCTTCAGTTTTAATGGTTTCTATGTCTTCCTACCGGGGCTAAATTTTTCTTCTCTGCTCTCCTGCCTGGGTCGGAATGCCACAATGTCTGTCTGTCTCTCTCACACGCTCCCCACCCCCAGGGAGGACCAGCACACAGAAGCCCAGAATAGAGAGTAGAGTGGGAAAGCTGAGAAATGATGGAGATTGCCGCGGTCCAGCCGCAGCTAGGTCCAGGGTTTCCTGAAAGGTGGGTAAGGCGTCGGCGATGGGAGACAGATGAAAACACACCGCAGAGGACAGCGATGCTCTGTTCCGTTCATTGCAAGTACAAGCAGGTTTTTATACTTTCATTTTTAGCAGTGATTGACATTTGCGATTAGGTAAAGCAGAAAAAAATTAATACAAAGGTAACCAGGAAAAATACAAAAATTCCCATAGATTCAGTTATATTAAACAAAGATTATTTTAACCAGGAGAGCCATAAATCAGACAATTAGAAATAGCTGTACATACAAAGTTTGAATGTCTTATTGTTTATTAAAATTCTCAGAATTTGTCATGGGGCAAAAGGATATGCTAAATTGAATAGAGGTTATAGGAAATTTATTATAAGGCCTTTGTGATGTCTAACTTACCTATTTACCTTTTCTGTTTAAAATATTTCTCTATGTACCATGGACTCTAACTCCCTGGTAACTGTTTCTACGTGCTTAGTTTGTAATAGTTAACCAGCTTTTCTTATTTCTTTGCCTGTCTAATTTTATTTGATATATACTCCTATTCAAGGTAAAGGTGAGGCTGTTACTCCAACAACTTTTAGACACTCAGGGGCTATTTCATTAGAGGGGATTTTATTCTTTGGTCAAGAAATTATTTCATACAACTTCATTGGAATTATGCAAATCAATAAACCTGAGATACAGATATCTAACAATCCCACCACCTTTTAATCTCCAAAACAAACAGGTAAGGAGAGATAAACAGGAAATTCAGCTACAATAAACTCTTTTTATTTCTTAGTTAATAAACACCAGGGAGGTCTGCTTTGAGCTAGCCTTTCCATGAAATTTAGACTATTATAAGGCACTTGAACTTTATCCTTATTGACCATTTTAATGCCACCCTCATTATATGCTCCTATATAAGGCAATGGGAGATTTGGAACCCTCTGGAGACCATTAGCTCCTTTTGGGGGATACCATAATTTGCCAATAATCTAATATGCTACCCAGGGGTATCCCTGGGCTGTGGGTAAGGGTCTATATAGTTTTTTCTTGTTTTCTAGAGAGACTCTTTGTATCTATGGGTAAGGAACAGGCATGGGAAAGTCAGCCAATAATTCAACCTATTGTAACTGATTTATGAATTCTTTTATGGGAACAATCGGGGGTAATTTTTTACTCAGGTTTATAAACTCCTTGTTTAAAACAATCTGGACATGATTCAATAGTCTAGGGAGAACTAGTTGTCCCTTCAGAATTTCCCTCAAAATCAATCATTAACTCTTTTTGAGCCTCTTTCTTCTCATGTCCTGTTCTTATGGGAATCAGGGTACAAAGTAAGACCATGATTAATATTAGCAAGGAAATTATTAAAAGCAATCCCCCAAAAAATTACCGCCCCCCTTTGTATGCCACGCTCTCTTCCAGGAAGATGGATTCCTTGAATGCCCTCTTTCCATGTTCAGACCTTGTCAAAAACATGGTTGGAAGAGGGCGTGGCAGGAGATGATTCCTGTGCTGCTGTGAGCACCCCTCCCATGCCACGAGAGTGACCTTAGGGAGGGAAGAAGAGGCTGTTCTTCCACCCAGGGTCATCAGGGTCTCACAGGGGACAAATACCCACCTCCAAGTGCATATCTAATGACCCAGAGCTCACACAGAAGGTGTACAATAGATACTGGGCTAGTGTGTGTTGGAAGGTAGTGTCAGTACAGGACATTGGCCTGGAGGTAGGGGGGGGGATTGC